CTTTGGAGGCATGGGTAAAACAACTTTGCTTGCAAAGCGTACAATGGGCGAAATGATGAATCGGTAACAAAGTAGCGGCTTCATGACAATCGTTTTGTATCTAATGTCGATTTTAGCGTGTGGAATGCAGAACTGTTTAAACGTACATGTTCTTCGCTCATTTCTGAACTATCGCTTCTTCCCGGTACGATCGGTGGAATGGAGCGTTTCAGGATGTCCCTATGTTTGACGTTCTTTTACAAGTTTTATTTGGCCGTCACTCAAAACATCTGCAGAGAGCTGGTAAGGATATGTTATTTCAAACTGTATTTCATCTTCACTATTTCATTTTACTGACCGTGATCTCAAATGCCACATGTGATCACCAGATCACCAGATGAGGTGTTTTTTTGATAACTCGGGAGCCTTAGCACAGGTAGAGATGGTAACCTTAAATCGTAATGCTTAGCAGTAAGCTCTTTTGGCTTTTGTTCATTATTTTTTTGGTTTAGTCTATTCAGATATTTTGTCGTTTTACTGCAGTTTTATGAAATAAAGGGTATTGCAACCTTTTGAAGTGTGTATATTGAATGGCAAACAATGAACGTTGCCTAATATCAGTCTGAAGTACCATTTGTAACGTTCAGACATCGTAAATCGGGATTACTCCGCTGTTTGTACAATGTTTGTCACATGCCGAACAAAAGACAGAAAGTCACATCATAGCTCAATATGCTTTTTTAAGGTATTTAAGTCAGATATTTTTCCGGCATTCCTTGCATTCCTTGGGTTGTGGCCTGTTTGCACAGTTGCCTAAGATATCTGCTTCGAGCACCGTAGGAAAAGGGTTTCAATTCCGCTTGAAGGCAATTTTTGTCTTATTCACGAATTTTTTCGAGCTAGGAATTTTCCATATATTGCTTCAGATTTGGGTTGCTCAGTCGGTAGGGCGTCGAACTCAGAACCGATAGGTACCGAGTTCAAGCCCCGGGCATGGTCACTCGCCCTTCCACCTTCCGAGGTTGATAAATGAGTGACACCCTGTGGGAGAGAGGAGCGGTGCTGTGCGCTTGATGCATGACTGTCGACTCTACCTTTAAAAAAGAAGACACTCCCGGCTAATGGCATGGAAATCAGCGGAGATCAGCGCCGCACCATCAACTCAATGAAAAGAAAGACGCCAAATGGCCCAGTTATAAAATTGAAGGAAGACTGATATTCGAAGATTGGCCAGCTTTCATTCCGTTTTCTTTTCCTTGGGCTTTATCTTTCTCCAGCCACATTGTCGTACAGTGTAAAATGGGAAATCCGAAAAAAGGAGATCTGAAGATCAAGGGCTTACAAGAGGCATTTTGTATGATTCTGCATTTGTTTAGTAGGTTTCAGACGATAGATGGACCTTCCCATTCCTTTGCTAGATAGATTGTATTTTGAGAGCTGTATATTTGAGAGATATATCTTTGTATAAAACAGGTTGCTAGCAGTTTCCATTTTTGCCTCTCTAATGATTTACTCTATAGAATATACCATGCTCTAGTGAGGACATCACCGCTGAAGCGCAGAGGACTCATCGCATGCTGGCGACGCAATTTTTCGAGGTAGACATTAAACAGTGAAATTCATCTTTACATCTTAGACCGTTTTCAGGAAGAACCTATAGAAACGTGCTCAAACGACAAAGTGGGTAAAGCGATCAATCACCTTGCTGCCGGCCTTCAGGTTTCCGGTGAAGCTACTTACTGTGACGACTTGGACACATCAAGTGAGTCAAACCATAGTGATTTTCAGGCGTTTGCTAATGATGTTCATGTACAGATGCCTTGCATATGGCTTTCGTGCTGAGCCGCAGAGCTCATGCTAAAGTGATATGGGTTGACACCAAGGAGGCACTCTCCGTTGATGGAGTTGTTGCTTACGTGGATCATCATGACATACCGTCGGATGGAAGTAATTTGTTTGGCGTTGCAGGTGACCAGCTAGTATTTGCGGTGGACGAGGTTGTACAGTTTTATTTGTGATCGTCCTAGAATTTAAACATTTTCAGGTCGTGTTCTTCGGCCAGATTATAGGGGCTATCGTTGCCTCTGATCGCGGCATCGCCAAAAGGGCATGCACATTAGTGAAAGTGACTTACGAAAACCTGCCTGTCATCCTCACGGTCGAGGTAAATTTTGAGTGCAGAATGATTACGCTAATCACGCATTCCTGATTGTAAGCATACCTTTAGAACGCCATCGAAAACAATTCTTTCCTCGAAGGAGGAAATCGTGTTTGTCGTGGCAGAGTTGCTCCGGCATTCTCACAGTCTGACTTCACATTGGAAGGTGAGGTGAAAATTGGTGGCCAAGAACACTTTTACTTTGAAACCCAGAGTTGCATCGTCACTCCATGCGAGAACGATGAGCTTGAGGTTGTAAGCTCAACTCAGAATGCCTCAGAGATGCAGGTATTGATTCAGCAATGCATATTAAACTCGCCATAAATTAAAGAGTTGCAACTCGCTCCTCACATGAACAGAAAGTAAACAATGTGTATTTGACGACTATCCTGAATTCGCCTTGATATTTTCTCGTTCGGTAGTTCTGTGCAGTAGGGCAAAAGTAGCTATTTGCTTTTTGGTATTTTCAATTACATCTGATCTGATTGATTCAAATGATGAATTCTGTACGTTTTCTGTAATGAGGAAGATGCGTTGCGTGGCTGATTGGTTGGAAACAGCATCACCGAAGCCTCCTCAGCCATTCATTTATGGGTTCATGACTGGCCTTCCCCGCCACTGTATGAGCTCAGGAAAGTGCACCTCACGGTACATTCTGCGAGCATTTCCTGCCGAACATTATCCTACATAGAACATTGTCTATTCCTTATAATAAAGACGTGTGGCTGCGTTTTGAGTGCCATTTGAAATGAAACAATGTACGAACTTCCGTCTTATGAAGTGTGAATTGACGACCAATTGAGCAACTTCGTTCGCGCAAAACTTAGAATACGACGGTGAGAAACGTAATATCCTCGGCTGTTTGCAGTGTTTCTTGACTGGATGCTGTAATCAGTTCGAAACAGGGAGCCAATAATCGATGCTGTAACAGTAGGAAATGTCGTATAAACTTTCTTGCATAAGGGGATGTGGTATTTTTACGGTGGAGTGTTACGCCATGACTTTACCAAGTTCACCGAAGTTTGATTTATGCCCTTCTTAATAAACGCGCTATTTGTAGTCACTGTTCATGTGTCTTTTTAATTGATTAATTCTTTAATGGTAATATGCTTGCCATCTTGCCACTTACTATTTACTGCTTGTTAGGTGATGATTTCGAAAATACTCGCTATTGCTCAGCACAAAATCTCCGTAAAAGTGAAACGGATTGGAGGTGGCTTCGGTGGTAAAGAAACCAGCTCTCTGGTTGTTGCCTTGCCGGTTGCCGTTGCGGCTCGAAAGTATGTGAGGCTACTCATAGACATTTTTTCCACCGGTGCTTAATTTTTTAGGTTGATGCGGCCTGTTAGCTGCGTCCTCGAGCGTTTCGACGACATGGTAATGACCGGAACGAGACATCCGTGTCTGGGCAGATATAAGATGGGCTTCGAAGCAACAGGAAAGTTTTCCGCCTATAACCTGCAGTTTTTCGCTAACTGCGGGTCCTGGTATGATCTCTCTTGCGGTGTGAGTACTCGATTGGGTCGTTTGTTGACGTATTTAGGTGACCCCGTCCATTGCCGTATTTAGGTGACGAATCGCGCCCTCATGCACAGCGACAACTGTTACAATTTTCCTAACTTCTACACTAGTACTAAACTGTGTAGAACCAACTTCCAACCATGTACAGCTTTTCGTGGTTTCGGGGCACCGCAGGCGATGTTCATGCTCGAACATTGCATCACGGACGTTGCATACACTCTGAACATTCGGCCAGAAAAGGTAATAGTACAGTTCTTCAGACGTTCCCTCCGCATTCTTCTGACTTTCAGGTACGAAAAATAAACTTGTACGACGAAGGTGATCGTACGCCTTGGGGAGAAGCGATGAAGAAGTGCAAAATCAGAAGCTGTTGGACAGAGTGCATGAATATGAGCAAATTTCATGATCGAATTAATGACGTTGAAAATTTCAACAGGTATGCGAATCTAATGACTGGTCGAAGGTCGTTTTAGCCGTGAATTATCAGTTGGATGCGTATGTCATTAGGTTTAGACTTTTCACTTGGAAGTCAGTGCTTAAAATAATGTTCACAAAGTTACAGTCTGGTATTTACGATTTTAAGCCTTTTTCGCTAGTGAAGGAAATTAATCCCAAGCACCTAAGTTTTTCTGGCTGAGCATTGCTGAAGTGTCTTGATCTCCAAGAAAGAAAATTTACATTTTCTGTCATGTTAGCCATTTCGTGTCTTATGTTTTCTGTGATGGTGCACTCACGTCAGTTTGATGCCACCTGTCAGGCTTATTTGGATTCTATGATATATTCCATGTGAATTTTTTGCAAATATGTTGGAATATGCTCATGCGCTTTATTACGCCAGGGTTTCCAACGTTCATAAAGACGTTTAAGAACCGTTGTGTCCTCATCGTTCCTACTTCTGTGCCTTATGGATATTTCTTCATTTCCAGCTCGATTGGTCTTTCGCCAGTTAGTCAGTTAGTTTCTATCGCCGCTTGTCCTTTCGGGTCATAGCGGTAGACGTGTCAGGTAGTGTCTTGATCCTATGTTTGAGCGTCTAAGCTTCGGCAGAAGATAATACATCTTTCGTTTTTGTTTTGTTCAATTCAGTCCCTGTCTAAGAGATCGATGAAAGCTGTTGTTATTGCATTCACTTCTTAAAGTACTTATGGTTAATATCTCAGCCTGTGGCTATCCTGTTAAATTAACTGTTTCGCAGTTCATCACAAGTCTCGATAAGCTATTAAATATCGTCCTAACAGGCGGATTCGCATTTTGATGCTTATTCTATCCTCTTTTTTCTTTTGTTCCCTATTCCATAAACATGAGATAAGATTTATGGGCAGCCAGTTTTTTGCTGTGATCATGTTTTGTCACGTAGCAGAACTTTAAGCTACTGAATGTTAACATTTTTTGCCTATCGTAGAATATGCATTTGATACTGATAGTTTTACTGCATCGACAAAGAAGAGGAAGCCTGTGCACACCACATCTGTTCAGTTACTTTAGTCGTGTTGCTATTGTGCTGACTACAGACCTTTCGTGATCCGTATCTCAATGTCTATTACAGCTACTGATGAGGCCAGGATGTATAATTTCTAACCTGCTGCTTCGATATCGAGCCAGGTCAGTCTTCTCCCCTGAGCACCTTCGATATGTCCGTGAATTTTAGTCAGTTATGCCAGAATGTGGTCATTTTTAATACAGTGATGTTATGTGATCTTAAGGATTCGATGTAAACAGCGCTATTGGAGACTTCTCAGTGTGTATTCTTTCATGTAAGCAGCTGTTTGTTTTTTCATACAGCAAAACCCATCAGGATGCGGCGAGGCAGCATAAAATTTTAGTGGTCACTGATATGTTCTTGCGACTCAGATATTCGGGAAGCTTTCGAAGGCACAAAAGGCCAGCGCAGTTTTTCAGTGAGATTTTCAAATCTTCATGGTTTCCGTCGTTCGAAATGACGACGAGTGGAGTTTCAACTGGAGGATGGGATTATTTACTTTGTGCACTATTTTCTTGATGCTCTTTTATTTCCATGCTTCATTTTGGGTTCCTTATTTCCTCTGAATTCTAGAGATTAAGTTTGAGATCAACTTTCACTGTATTTTCTTACACTGCATTTAGCAAGTAAACACATTCGTCACTGTCACCCAGTTAAACAGTGTCATCCGTTTAACACTTTGCTAGATATATCATTGTCCACCCCATTTCAGCATCATGCCTTCCTACTTCATAGAAAATGATCTAGTACTCTTTTCATATAGTGTTGTTGCTAGCTGATGCTCGTTTTTAACCCAAATCATTAAGTGATAACAACCGTCAGATGTTGGCCATTGTAGTATGGAACGGCTGAATAGTTTGAAATATACATCGAAGCTTTCTTATCAGAAAATAATTTTATAATTTCAGAAACCACATATCGAAGAAGCGGGGAATATGCGTCATCCCAACGAAGTTTGGTATTGCTTTCGGCGTAAAATTTATGAACCAGGTGCTTCTTCATTTCTTCTGTTAAGCCTTACATTTTCTAATGTTTGTTCAGGCTGGAGCACAAGTCAATATTTACTTGGACGGTTCGGTGATCATTAATCATGGAGGAATTGAGATGGGCCAAGGTCTCCATACTAAAATAGTTCAGGTTGGTAGAATCGTTTGCTTCATCGTGCATTGACTAGCTCCTCTCGGTACCGTGCTTCAGATCGCCACACGCGTGCTAAACGTTCCGCCGGAAATGATTCATATAAAGGAAACGTCTACCCTCACTGTTCCAAATACCAGCCCCTCAGCAGCTAGCGCTAGCTCTGATTTGAACGGCATGGCTGTGAAGGTAGCTTTGTGATATTTTCATGAATTATAACGATAACACTACAGTACATGGTGGGAAATCTACAACTAAATTTAGAGAACATGTGTGAAAAGGCACTGTCAGTTTAAAAGGATATGAGCAGGTCCTTAATAAGCAAATGAGCACAATAACAATGCATCCCCGGTTTACCTAATAATAGTACAGCCCCCGGTTTTATTAAGAAACTGCTAATTATCGAACCGCCGGTACTAATAACCATCTGCAGTCACTTGTTAAAATTTACATGGTGTAATCGCACTTGTTTTCTCGCTTCTAGTAGCCTTTAGGACCACGACTCCATTGTATTTTAGCACCTGCAGTGCAGGGATGCATGCCAAAGCGCGTCACTGTGCAGGACTAGACGAAAATCTGTTTAGAAACCTGCCAAAATGCTACTATCAGTAGGAGTAAGTGCCAACAATCAGCATGAACAAACTGCTAAACATTTGCTGACAGTCTCGTTCTGTTGGCATTTTTCAGATCTGATCTTCAGCGCCAGTGGATAGATTTGCAAGGAGTGTGACTTGCCCTCGTGCGTGGAAATATGTTAGACCATATAACTAGCGCATTCTTGATCTTTTGCCCGTTGTGCTCTTCAGATAAAGGGAGCAGCAGTGAAGAGAAGTTCGCGTACCTCGTGGTTCTGTTTACTGGTGATGAAAAATGGGAGTAAGATGTCGTTAATGGCCCTGGTGTTTATCGTTCAGTACCCATAACCATTATGAATAAGGCAGATTTGAGTCTGAATTCTGTGATTTTCTTTCTCATGCTCATCTATGGTCATGAACAATGGGTCATGACTGAAAGGCTGCAGTCCTGGCTACCAGCGACTGAATTAGACTTCCTGGGGCAAATGGCTGAACTC